AAAAAAAAAAAAGAAATGTAAATCGCTCTGTAAATAAATTATTTTATTTTAATGCTTTAATGTTTGTATTGTTGCATACCACGAATCATAATGATTGATAAATTTTAACATTTTTTTCTAAGAAAAAAATGAAACAAATGTTTGGTATCATAATTTATTTAAACACAAGAAATACTTCGTATAAACCTTTTCCACCTCGTATTCCTTATACAAATCAACGCGATTTAATACGCAATTTGAAATCAAACATAATGTTTCTTTCATTCTTCGTTCTTTACGGATTAAATTCCACATTTAATATCAAATTTATACACGATTGCTATCGCTATGACGATAACGCTTCCTATAACTTACAAAAATATAATAGCAATTTATTATTACATTTAATTTTTATTGCTGTGCAACTTGTAAATAAATTCTAACTTAATTATATTATACGTATTAAAGATTCAATGTTGCAATCGAATAATTAAAAGTAAATTGTTAATTGGAATTAATCCAAAACTTTCTTTGGTACACTGAGACATTGAATCTTATACATATTCTTATATTATACAGTAATGATTTTCATTATTCATGCTTATTTAAAATTATGCTTATTTTATGATAAATAGAGCTAATAAATTTGAAAAAAAAATAGATATACATAATACATAATATTTTTGTTTTTATTAAATCTAATAAAAAATAGTGACTCAAAATACATATTATTTATACATATGTATTAGTATATATGTACTTTATTAGATTTATATATATATATGTATTATATACAGTTATACATATTTATACATATGTATAAATACATAATTTAATAATTATTTATCATTTAATTTGTAATAAAAGTTCTTGTTGCACAGCAAATAATTGCTAATATTTAATGCATATTAAAAACAAATATTGTTATAAAAATTTTTTTCTTATTATTATAGCATATCAAAAATCAAAATTAAACTTTTCTGAGGCCTTTGTAATCGCAAGTTAAATGCAAATAATATTTAGCTTAAATAAAATGTAAAAGTTTTATTAAATATCAATCAACTCTTTCGTGTGAAATTCGTGTATGAAATGATTATTTATAATATCTTATTTAATTAGATATTTATTTCTTTTTATCCGCAATAATTTTTTCATGATTCTATAATTTCTAATTTATTTATTTTCCACACAAAAGAATTTTAAAATTAATTGTATAAAAAGTGCGCACAATTGAAGCATAATGAATTGAGATATTAAAGTTATAATTACAAATATTATATATAAAATTTTCCTTCAATCTAAAAAATAATAAAGAAACTATTTGATATAAGTTAATGAAAATTTTCAATGTAAAAATTTAATAAAGTATATATGAAATAGATAAAAAATTTTTCATTAGGCCATGATATTATAAACATTTACTTTCTTGTGTAAATTTAATATTATGAGCAAATATTCATTTTAAGTGATAGTCTACAAAAAAATAAAAATATGATTAAACAATTTAAACAAAAAATAGGAAAATAGGATGTACATAAAAAGTATGCACAAGACAATTATTTGTTATAATACTTATTTGAATTTCATAATATCACAAATTTTTATATAGACTTTTGCTAAATATTTTAAAACTTTTGAATAAATTTGCGCATAAAAAATGCATAAAAAAATATTAATTTTAATAGTTATATAAAATCATTACTTGATGTAAAAAATTTTTTTCATTGATTTCTGATTGATTCTCATGTTGCATAATTAAAATAAATATTTTATTATCTGTGCACACTATTAACACAATTTATTATATTTATTTAAAATAGATAAGCATTAATTTTTATTATTTATTAAAATATTTGTCTTTTGTATTTCATATCACATAATTAATCATTATATCACAATAAATCTGCTTTTTATGAATAATGAGAATGAGAAATTATCTTCTGGAAAAAGATAATTCATTAAACTAAAAATAAATAAATCACAAAATTCATTATTTGATTTAGCATGTTTGTCTTTTAATTGTGACAGGTACATTATTTCCATAATTAAATTTATCTCTATTATAGTATGGTAAGATAAGCATTATAATAATAATATATTTAAATGTAAAATATATTAAGTGTAAAAAAAGATAAAATTGATTTTCTAATTACACTGAAAAAATTGTATCCAAAATAAATGTTGTAAAACAATTATTTATGGAATGAATTTGAAATAGTTTATATATACATAAATAATTCAATAGTATAAAAGAATAATCACATACAAAGAAATTTTTAATAATAATAAAAAAATAGCATGTAAAACAATTATCCAATTATCCCTATTTAAATTTTGTTTGTATTTTGTTGTATTTTTAAAAATTGCTGTGTTTTTAAATAGAAAACTGATTTACATATAACATTCCTAATCAGATGCATAAAAAATGCGAGATCATTGAATTCTCAGAGTGAATAATCAGAGAATTCTAAATGAAAAAAAAATGTGCTATATAGCACAATAGTAGGACCTATTTAAAATTTATGATATTCATTACGTATTTATTTGAAATTTATAAATCCCTAATTACTATTATAGTTTGCTCTACACTGTTTCTATTCAATATATTCACATATACAATGTGAAAAATAATTACAGAATTGATTATTAAAAAAAAAATCTGTAATTGTTACAGATTATAACTATATATTATGAATGCACATATAATAAACACAAATCAGTTTGTGTTCATTTAGTTATTGACATATAAACTTATATATTTTTTTGAATCAAATTGAATTGCAGCAGAATAATATTCATATAATAATTCATCAGTATTACGAAATATTATTCTAGTTTACATGCGTATGTCCATTCCCTGAGGTATCTTCATATAATTTCTCATTATCATCACAATTGTTTTTTGTTGGAAATACACATTCAAGCGATGGTTTTACTTTAGTCAATGAAAACTTTGTTAAGAAAAATTCAGATATATAGCAAAATAGCTTACATAATAATGGACATAGTAATCCTTGATGAATAAATGTCCACATTCGATAATTTTGTCCTTCAAATGGGTCTAAAATAGCAGCACATAACATATGACTAAGATTTACTTGTGTGGGCTAAAAAATGAAATATTAGAATTAGAAATGAAATAGAAAATAAATATAAATAAAAATTGTTGTATAAATATAAATAAAAATAAAAAATGTTATATAGTAACACATACCAATGCAATAGGTTGGATAATCCAAAAATGATAAGCTAAATTTATTCCATAACTAAATATACACCAACTCATGTCTGATAGAGGTTCGATATTATAAACACCTAAGGAAAAAAGTAAGGATAAAATATATATTTAAAATGAAAAAAAAGATTAATATTCAAAATAATTTGCAATTACCTCCAATTCTCAACAGATAATATGGTATTACCACCATTAAACCATGTTGAATGTAGTATAATGCTTTATCTGCAAATATCTGAAACAATTATATCAATATAAATTTATACCAAAAAATATTAAAAAATGTTTCTTAGTAATGATAAAAAATGATTTACTCTGCGAGATTCTGTTTCTGGAAATAAATATGCTAAAAGTGGTCCATTTAAGAAGTTTAAATGTATCCTAAAGATAGCTGTGACCGTAGGACTAGGATTTGCTGCCAATAAATATAACTATAGCATAAAAAAAATAATAATTAATTATATCAGCATAAATAAAATATATATATTTCTTATTCAAATACTTTTATTTATTTTACCTGTACTGCTGATGTTATATGACAAGGATTCAATATATATATAACTGTTCTACTGGTAAACTTAAATCCAATTTCCATTCCTAATACTAATGACATAATGATTAATAAAATCCTTCTACCAACACAATCTTGATTTACATATGATACTTTAGATGGTAATTTGATTCTTTTGTAACCCCATACTAGAAAACTTATTATGAATATTGATATAAATAATGTTTCAATAATTCTTTGTTTTAAACTTAAATAATATGCACATTCTGGTCCTACATTACGTGGTATAGAGGCATTAACACCATCATATGCCCATTCAAACATTATTACAAATTCTTTTTATGCAACTGAAATTAAATAAACAAAATTAAGATTAATTTAAATAGAGATTAACTTACGTTTAAATCTGTACTATCCGCAATGACGAATTTTATACTACCAGTAAATAGAACGTTTTACTGTACGTAATTCCTTAATGCCTGTATTTGAACATTACATAAACAAGAAATAAAATATAAAGAGAATTAATAATGAATTATAATTTATTATATTTAAATGTTATATTGGATAATATAATTATTGATTCATCGAAACGAAGAGTCTTTAAATAGAAAATCATTGAATTTAACGTACCTATTTTCTCAAAATCTAATAAACTCAAAAGTAACGTGGAATACTTTAAATTGATATGCACTGTATAACAAGTTGTATTAACACACACTTGTAAGTATAAATGAATTTCATACTGAGCACCGCGTATTTCCTATTGACGTATCCTATCGAAGAACTTCAAAATTCTGTTACCATTTTCATATCATTTTCAATAATACCGACACAGCACAATAAAATTTCACAGGTACATCACAGATGATGCATATATTATATTTAACAGATGGCACCATCATATTCTTATAAAATCAACTCGGCTGATAGTCTGTTCACGTTTTAATTCCTAATATGAATTTTTCTATTTACTTTTGATCGTATACAGGAAAAAAAAAAAAATTTAGTATGGATATGCCTAAACAATATTTAATTGAAAATACAGTAAATAGAAAAAAAAAAAGAAGAAAGAAAAGAAAGAGGGAAAGAACGATTAAAATGAATAACTAATCTAAAATAATATTAAACGAAAAATAAGTGAGTTTTTAAGTTTCTTAAAATAAATATCAAAAAACTAGCAGAAGAAACATACCTGATATTGAAAGTGTATCCACTGTTGCAGCGAATATATTCAAATAATTACACAAGAGAATTCTACATCACAGTCAAATTTAAGCAAGACCAAACAAAAACTAAAATAGAACAAAGATTGCTGTTGCGCGGAATTTCAGTATTGCCAAATATGCAGCTAAGAGAAAATTCTGCGCTGATAAAATTTAAAATAGAAGCAAATGAATATGTGAAAACATTCAAATTAACGTAATATAAAATTCATGAAAAATTTATGGAAATAAGCGGTTTAACACAAATATAAAAAAAGATTTAATCGAGTTTTCTGACTCGCTATATAAAGAGTTAAAGAAATCAGAACACTTTACAATACAACAAAAAAGAAAAACCAATAGAATTAAATAAATTCTAAATCAAAAATTGTCATATTTGAAAGAATGTTTCTTACAGATTACTTTAAAGTTTATAAATCGTGGAATATCCAGAGAAATATGCAGAACTTATTAAAGAACAAGCAAGAAATAATTAAATTCTAGAAAAAAAAGAAAAACATTTATAAAAGATATTGCTTAATATATTTCAAATAAATTACAGAAAAAATATTAGAAAGAAATCACAATTATTCAAAATTAAATTGATAAAATACATAAATTGATTTAATAACTAATACACGATATCCCATGATTTTTAAAAGTCAACACGAAGATCTTATTTGTAACTTAATAAATCTCAATAAGTACATAAAATAAACGCGTGCGCAGCCAATCGGCTCATATTATTTGCTATAAAATTTATAATTGTATCACAGATACGATTATGAATAGTATAGTAAATAATAATGATTTCCCAGGTCTCACCGCGTGGAGGTTGCTGCGAATTGGAGACCCACCCTATCCGCGATCCCATCCACCCTCCTTTAAAACGTAAAAATTTATTTAAAATCAACGATAAATCTTCCTTTTGACGTAGAATTGCAAAACGTTTGATCGTCAATCGTTGTGCAAAACGAACAGCAAAAGGAATTTTAAAAGGAAACCGACGCGATAATCTAAACCTGAAAGTGAAATTTAAATTATACCTTACTCGTATATAACTCTATATGAAACACAGATACATTATTTCATGCATGTATCAATATTTTATATATTCATTTGACAATAAACGTATAAAATATCGATAATTAGGAAAATTTAGTACAAGAAAAAGCGGAGATTTTTCACACAGAGTCATATTTATTTTATCAACCACCACCATAATACCACCATTTTTAACACCAAAATTACTATCACCACTACTACTATGCATGCATTTATAAATTAGATTCTATTTAAGCAAGCAATATTTCTACAGCAGCAGTTCTACAAGCATCTACTTATATTCTATTTATATCTTACTTATATTCTAAAACTCATATTTATTAGACAAATTCCACGAATCCTTAAATAATTTCAATTTACAATTCTTGGTAATCGCTACTTACATATAAGTCAATGTTTGTTTCAATTCTTATTAGTATAAAAACATTTGAAAG